GTAAAATATTAATATTAGTGTGCCAACATCTAGCCCAAGAAGGCTATACACTACTACAGTGATGTGATGATTATGAGGGCTATGAGAGCTTATGCTATACAAACTAAAAAGCAGCCTTATAAGAAAACTAATGGTGTGAGATGCGATTGATAGAATGAAGATACATACATCAACCATATAAGACAGTACATAAGATATTTATAAGTGAAGGATGATGAATTTTTTTTTTATTACTTTAGCAGGGGTCATTGGTCTTGCTGTTTTTATATAAAGATATTAACTTTCTGTTCTCATTTGTCTCATAAGTACCCATGATATTATTTCTTTCACCTTATTTTTAAATAAATGGTTATGTTTAAGACCCAATTGTCATCACTGTGTATGGACTTGCCCACATTAGTTCCTTTGTAGCAGGAATAAAAGAAAGACAAAAACAACCCTTGCTTTAAAGGAGCTAACAATCCAATGAAGGAGTCAACATGCATGCAAAAAACTATGAAGAAACAAGCTTTTACAGCTTTAAAACTGCTAAGTCTTTTGGGACATGCTGTATACAGGATATTTTGGAGGTAATTTCAGAGACCACATATTAGTGTCAACTAAGGGGAATTTTTTTTCTCTTAATATGAATTTATTTATTTTTTAGTTTTCAATATTCACTTCCACAAGTTTTTGAGTTCCAAATTTCTCACCCCTCCCCCCACCCCAAGATGGCATGCATTCTGAATACCCTTCCCTGGTCTGCCTTCTCTTCTATCTCTCCCCTCCCTTCTCTTATCCCCTTCCCTTCTATTTTCCTGTAGAGCAGGATAGACTTCTGTACCCATTTCCTGTATTTCTTATTTCCCAGTTGCATGTGAAAACATTTTTTTAAAATGTGTTTTTAAAACTTTGAGTTCCAAATTTTCTCCCTTCCTCCCTCCCCACCCACCTCATTGAAAAGGCAAACAACTCAATATAGGTTGTATATGTGCAGTTATGCAAAACACTTCCTTAGTAGGCATGTTGTGAAAAACTAACTCTATTTCCCTTAATCCTATCCTGCCCTCCCATTTATTCTATTCTTTCTTTTGACCCCTGTCCCTCCTCAGAAGTATTTGCTTCTGATTACCTCTTTCCCAATCTGCCCTCCTCTCTATCACCCCCTGCTCTCTTGTCCCCTTCTCCCCCTATTTTCCTGTAGGGTAAGACAGATTTCCATACCAATTGAATGTGTATGTTATTCTCCTTAAGCCAAATCCTATGAGAATAAGATTCCCTCATTCCCTCTCACCTTCCCCTGTTTCCCCTCCACTGTGAGAGACTTTTCTTTTCTGTTTTTTTTTGTGAGATAATTTACCCCCTTCTACCTCTCCCTTTCTTCTCCAGTATCATCCTCTCTCATCCCTTAATTTTATTCTCCAGATATGACCCCTTAATCTTCAACTCACCCTGTGCCCTCTATCTATCTATATATACATACATAAATTTTTTTCCTTCAACTACCCTAATACTGACAAAGTTCTCATGAGTTACAAATATCATCTTTCCATGCAGGAATGTAAACAGTTCAATCTTAATAAGTCTCTTATGATTTCTCTTTCCTGTTTACCTCTTCATGTTCCACTGGAGTCCTGTATTTGAAAGTCAAATTTTCTGTTTAGCTCTGGTCTTTTCATCAGGAATGCTTGAAAGTCCTCTATTTCACTGAATGACCATTTTTTCCCCTGAAGGATTATACTCAGTTTTGCTGGGTAGGTGATTCTTGGTTGTAATCCTATCTCCTTTGCCCTCCGGAATATTATATTCCATGCCCTGCGTCCTTTAATGTAGAAGCTGCTAAATCTTGTGTTATCCTGATTGTGTTTCCACAGTACTTGAATTGTTTCCTTCTGGCAGCTTGTAATATTTTCTCCTTGACCTGGGAACTCTGGAATTTGGCTACAATATTCCTAGGAGTTTTCCTTTGGGGATCTCTTTCAGGAGGAGATCTGTGGATTCTTTCAATTTCTATTTTGCCCTCTGGTTCTAATATATCAGGGCAGTTTTCCTTGATAATTTCTTGAAAGATGATGTCTAGGCTCTTTTTTTGATCATGGCTTTCAGATAGTCCAATAATTTTTAAATTCTCTCTCCTGGATCTATTTTCTAGGTCAATTGTGTTTCCAATGAGATATTTCACATTGTTTTCTAATTTTTCACTTTTTTTAGATTTGTTTTACATTATCTTGATTTCTCATGAAGTCATTAGCTTCCAATTGCTCTTGTCTAATTTTTAAGGAAGTATTTTCTTCAGTAATCTTTTGGACTTCCTTTTCCACTTGGCCAATTTTTCTTTTTAGGGCATTTTTCTCCTCATTGGCTTTTTGGACCTCTTTTGCCATTTGGGTTAGGCTGTTTTTTAAGTGTTATTTTCTTCAGTATTTTTTTGGGTCTCCTTTAGCAAGCTGTTGACTTGTTTTTCATGATTTTCTTGCATCACTCTCATTTCTCTTCCCAGTTTTTCCTCTACTTCCCTTACTTGCTTCTCAAAATCCCTTTTGAGCTCTTCCAAGGCCTGGGACTGATTCATATTTTTCTTGGAGGCTTTGGATGTAGGAGCTTTGACTTTGTTGTCTTCTTCTGGTTGTATATTTTGATCTTCTTTTTCACCAAAGTAAGATAATATAGTCTGACTCTTTTTGCTGCTTGCTCATGATCCCGCCAATTACTTGAGTTTTAAACTCTTGTTAAGGTAAGAGTCTGCTTCCAATGTGGAGAGTGTACTGTCCCAAGCTTCAGGGGTTTGTGTAGCTGTTTTCAGAGATACTTGTAGGGACCTGTAAATTTTCAGTTCTTCCAAGGTGGTATGATAAGGGGTGAGGTGTTTACTCCTTTCCTGGCCTGTGACACAGTATTCCTTTCTGTCCTGTAACTGTGAGGAGGGGTTCTCTCCACAGCCACTACAAGCTCCACCATGCCAGCGCTCTTCCTCACTCCAGCACTGCCGCCCAGGACTGTGACCCAGATCCACACACGGGCAAAGCAAGAGATTCCTGCCTCAGCACTGGCAAAGAGATCCCTGCCGTCCCTCTCTGATCAGCCACTGGATTCCCCCTCAGTCTGTGGGCCAAAGCTCGGGAAGCAGCTGCCCCCCCCCCCGCCACGGCTCTTGGGGAATGGAGCTGAGACGCCTTCTTCTGACCACCAACAGAAACAGACTTTTCCCACTGACCTTCTAAGTTGTCTTTGACATTCGTGGATTGAGGAGTCTGGAACCCTCCACAGCTGCCAGCAATTCAGTCCTCTGAGGCCTGCTCCAGGTTTGGTGCTGCCTGCGCGCCCACGCCGCGCTGTGCTGCGCTCCCAGCCCGGCGCGATAACACCTTTCTGATCGATCATCCATGCTGTCTTGGGCTGGACATTTGTTTCACTCTGTCTTTTTGTGGGTTCTGCTGCTTTAGAATTTGTTTCGAGCCATTTTTTATGAGTATTTGGAGGGGTTTGGGGGAGAGCTCCGGCAAGTCACTGCTTTCCCTCCGCCATCTTGGCTCCGCCCCCGGGGATTTTTTTAAGTAGTGATCAGTGTGGGTATTTCATCCACAAACGAATTTGAGTGTAGCTAAGCTCCAAGATAGTGATTCTTCTCTGGGGACTTAGACCCACTAGAGTGAGAGAAATGTGGTGTGACATGGCCAGATCAGACAGTGTTTGTATAGAGAATAATTTCGAGCACGATTTAAAGAATGATTACCTAGAGATGTACAGTGGTTAGGTCATAGGAAGTTAATAGTTTCACTGTACAACACACTAATTAGACTTTGCTACAGGGATTGTTTTGCTTTCTTCTATTTGTATTCCCAATGCTTTGCACAGTGCCTGGCACACAGTAAGCACTTAATAAATGAAGATTAACTAACAAAATAAACAAAATAGTTTTAAAAGTTTATACAATAAAATTTAAAACCAGATTGACCTGTAGCTTTTCTTTCCTCCCTTCTCCCCTCACTTCTTTCTCAGCAAAAAAAAAAAAATCCTAATAGAGAAAAAAAAGTTCTTTCTCTCTTATTCTGTTACCTCATCAGCATAATATATTCTCTGTATTCCTTCACAGCAGCAGATTTTACACAGAATAAACTGCAAACATTTTTTCCCCCAATAGACGTGGAAAAAAGTTTCCAAAACAAACCCACCTAAGGACTATTTCTACATCATGAGCAACCTCACTACTATACAGAACAACTCAGTTGGTGAATGGACTACCTATCACCAGTCCACCTATGCAGAGAAATGGGCTTTTATGTGCTTAAGGCAGATCCGGGTGACTTTTTTTTTTTTCCAGAGGGAGATGTGAGCAATGATTTCCTCGACCTGTTTTCTACAGAAGATGGGGCTTACGTTGCAAGGCTTAAAGCTGGTGATGCCTTGCTCGTGTTCTGACTTCCTAGGCGCCCAGGTTCAGCCTCGCCTGTTCCTTCTGAGTCCAGGAGATAGGAGCCAAGACCAGGGCTGGAGTCAGGGAGGAGATGGTGCAAGGTGAATGTGCGCTCATTATGTACTTACTCTAGTCTAGGCTAAGCACAGAGCTGAGCGCTGGGTAAAAAGCCCCTGCCCTCGAGAATGGGGAGGTAACAAGCAAACAACCATTACAAGATGTAGACTGAATAAATCCGGGATGGTGTCTGAAGGAGAGGTAGCATTCTTCACAGAAACTGTCGCCATTTGCTCCCAGGGTTTTCTAGAGACAGCTCAAAATACGCAGTTAAGAGTAAGGCAAAGACAGAAATGCATACTTTGAATCCTGAGTTTACACTCCCCTCCGGGAGAGAGCGGGATCCGCCTCCACGGCTTCTGCACCAATCACAACATCCCAAGCGCCATGATGCCCCGCCTTCCCTCCCCCCTCCTGTCTCTTCCCTTACGGGGCACCGTCGGGAGTGAGTGGCGTCATCACGCTGTGGCGTGAGTGCGGGCGGTACGTGCTGCCGTGCGTGGTGCGTGGCTCGCGGCTCTCGACCGCTAGCAGTGCGTGCTTCTCTGTTTTTGCCTTTGCCTGGGCCTGGGTCTCCGGCTGCAGCGTACGTGTCGGGACTGCGGACGCCTTTTGCCCAGTTCCCCTCCCCTTCCCGCGATCCGCGATGGGGCGCACGTCCAAGGACAAGCGCGATGTTTATTACCGGCTGGCCAAGGAGGAGGGCTGGCGGGCCCGCAGCGCCTTCAAGCTGCTCCAGTTGGACGAGGAATTCCAGCTCTTCAGCGGCGTGAGGCGGGCCGTGGATCTCTGCGCCGCCCCCGGGAGCTGGAGCCAGGTGCTGAGCCGCAAGCTCGGGGGGTCCGGGCCGCCGGCCTGCATCGTGGCTGTGGACCTGCAGGCCATGGCTCCCTTGCCTGGGGTGGTGCAGATCCAGGGGGACATCACCAAGGCGTCCACGGCGCAGGAGATCATCGGACACTTCGAGGGGCAGCCGGCGGACCTGGTGGTGTGTGACGGCGCCCCGGACGTCACCGGGCTGCACGACATCGACGAGTACATCCAGGCGCAGCTCCTGCTGGCCGCCCTCAACATCGCCATCCACGTCCTGAAGCCCGGCGGCACCTTCGTGGCCAAGATCTTTCGCGGCCGGGATGTCACCCTGCTCTACTCGCAGCTGCGCCTCTTCTTCCCCGACGTGGTGTGCGCCAAGCCCAGGAGCAGCCGCAACTCGAGTATCGAGGCCTTCGCCGTGTGCCGGGGCTTCAAGCTCCCGGCCGGCTACATACCCAGCATGCTGAACCCCCTGCTGGACCACAGCTACCACGGGGACTTCAACCAGCTCGAGGGCCCCACGCGGCTCATCGTGCCCTTCCTGGCCTGCGGGGACCTCAGTGCCTATGACGCTGACCGCACTTACCCCCTGCAGCTGGAGGGGAGCGCCGAGTACCGCTACACGCCGCCAGCCCAGCCACCCATCCAGCCGCCCTACCAAGAGGCCTGCAAGCTCAAGAAGTCCGGGGGTCTGGGCCGGGCCATGCTGCAGCCCGGGGCTCTGCCCGATGCCCAGGAGCAGGCTGCTGCCCAGCCTGAGAAGGAGGGCGAGCAGGCCGTGACCCCAGCCCTGGGTTCCCTCTCCCTGGACCCCTAGGGAGGAGCCCTCCCAAAAGGGCCTCTGGAAACTTATTCCTATGGACTTGGGGGGAGGGGGTGGTAATCCTCAAGGTGAAAGCTCTTCCTTTGGTTATTCCTCCTAAACATAACAGAGTTTTAGTTGGGATTGGTAGAGGTGGGAGAGAATATTATACACACACACACACACACACACACACACACACATATGCTCTCAGGCACACATATTTGAAATTTCTTATTTTTGCTAGATTTTTATCTGTTTTCTTTTTAAAAATTCATTTCATCGATGTCTTTTTTCTGTGTTGCCTGAATTCCTTTCAATATCCATCCTCCCAGTAAGCCATTCCATAAACAATAGAATTTTTTATTTTAACAAAAAGGAGGAAGAGAAAAGAATCAGCAAAACCCATCAATACTTGGCAAAAATCTGAAAATACATGCAAAGTTACATAGGGGGAAGCTCCTACCTCTGCAGAGTGGTATGGGAAGGTGTCTTCTAATGTCTCTTGGGACTATGTTTGTAATTTGTAATTCTACAGCATTCTCTTTCAGTTATTTTGTGGTTGTTAGAATTTTAGTTGTAGTTGAAGGGTTTTTTTTAGATTTTTGCTTCCTGGAATAGGAGCTAACCAAGCAAGTGTTCATTGATTGTTTAGTGACTTTTGTCATCCTAACTTACTTTCTAATTTTCTGTCTTTTCCTTGATGCATTTTTTCTTTTTTCTTTTTTTTTGGGGGGGTGGGCAGTGGGGTTAAGTGACTTGCCCAGGGTCACACAGCTAGTAAGTAGTATGTGTGAGATCAGATTTGAACTGAGGTCCTCCTGAATCCAGGGCCGGTGCTCTATGCACTGTGCCACTTAGCTGCCCCCTTTTCTTTTTTTTTTTTTTAACAAACAGAATTGGAGTATGAATACTTAGGTGCCAAATCAAAACACTAACTCAGATCTCTCAGAAGTTGTCTGGGAGTGATTTTTTTTTTGTTAGAAGCAGTCTGTGAGAAGCATGGGTTTATTTGCCACTTCTTTGCTTTGTAGTTAACTATAATCAAATTATATGTACATTTCAGACTTAGAAAAATTTGAATCTAGCCAATTTGCTTTACAAAGTTAAAAAAAGTACAAAAGTGAATAAATGTCTAAAAAACTTAGGAATCATGTCAAGGAGAAAAAGAACTGTTTTTTTTAAAAGGGAAACTTTTAGAATTGAAAAACCACCAAGTGTATAGGGGAAGCACAGGGTCCAGAGAGAAAAAGGAACAGCTTTTTGCAGGTGAGAGAATGGAAAGTTCTTCACCCTTCACATGGGAGTAGGGTCCTAGGTCCAGGAATTTGTGGTAACATGCCTCCTTGCAGAGCTGCTCCTGCTTTGCTGTGTTTCCTGGGGAGACTAATGGGAATGGTTCAGGCTTCTGAAAACTGTTACAGGAGTCATGGTTTAAGAATTGGGAGTGTTTATCTCAAAAAAGAGGTTAAAGCAGAGGAAGATGTGTGTTTTTTTTTAAGAATTTGAAAGACTACCAGTCCCATATGGTTTCAAAGGGAAGGCCTAGAATCGAAGGGTACATATCATAAGGAGACTGATTCATTTGTTATATGACACATGATATTGTCAGTAGGAGTACTCTCTCCTTTGGTGCAGGTCCATCGCCCTTTCATCTGGTAAAATTTTTGTCTCTTTCTGTAAATCATCCAGAGTTTTTTAACACTTTCCTCCCTTGGTGAGAGGCAGTGTGGTACAGTGAGAAGAGGGCTGGATTTAAATTCAGATGATCTGACCTTGAGGTTTTACTCTTATCACTAAGAACCTAACAAATTTGGGCAAATCATTTCACTTCCCTGGGTCTTTGTTTCTTCATTTTACAGATGAAGAGGTGGGGAGGAAGGACCTTTGGGAATTCTGCAAATGCTTCTACAAGCCTTGGAGTTTGCCCTCAGTCTTTCTGCACAACCTGTCCAGGGAAAAGAAGGGAAAGTGGGAATAATTCTGATGGGGTAAGGCAGGGGAGTAATCCCTTGGTTTCTTGGAATGGCCTCTGCCTACTCCATAGTAGTTAGCATTTATACAGAGCTTGGTTTATATTATTTCATTTTTTTCTCAAAACTACCATAGAAAGTATCCCCATTTTATAGTTAAGGAAATTGAATCAGATAGGTGAAATGACTTGCCTAGGATGTCTGAGGCAGGATTTGAATTCAGGTCTTGCTCCCCATCGCTTGGAAGCTGAATTTCCCCCCCAGCTTTGACTTCCAAAGCTGTGAAGGCATTGTTCTCTTAAGCTGCTTAAATCTTGTGTGGTCGAATGTTGGGAGTGGCAGAAATGGTGGTGGTGATAGATAAAGGGCTGGGATGCTTCTAGGAGGATACAAGGACCAGAGCCATTTACTTTGAGTCTCAGAACCAGGAACTACTGATCCAGAAGGTCCAGTGGATTCTATCCCCAAGGGAGGACATATTTCAACAACTTGGCCCAGGAGTCAACAGAGCTAGGTCAGAGTAGCTGGTTCTATTTTTCTGTGTATTTGTTAAATGAACTTGGACAAGGAGGTCTCAAAGGTCCCTTTCAACTCTGACAGCCTGTGAATCTATGTGATTTGAGGGCCAATGGACTCCTCAGCTCAGCCTCAACTTTGGTAGGAGCTAAATGAGCCTTTCTCCTTGACCTTGGATAAGTTGTTTACTTTTTCTGGACCCTCAGTGTCCTCCTCTGCAAAATCAAGGAATTAGATCTAGTGGTGTCTTCTAGCTACAAGATAGTGCTTTGAGGATTTGTGGAAAACTTCAAGCTGCTTTTCAGCTCTCTCCTCTACAGCATGTTTTCTGGAGAGATTATTATTCCATAATGCTCCCTCTCTGTACCTCCAGTAATCATGGTTCTTGCATGTCAAATGTGCAGATATGACTGATTATTCTACAAGCTAAGGTCAGTTTAAATGTCTTCTTGCTGGGGAGTGGAGGTGGATAGTCATCCCAGTAGTGGCCTTATGGATTTCTTCGACCTCAGTCTCCCTCCACAGGGTGGTATCTCTATCTCTGCCCTGCCATCCCTTCAACTGATGGTACTCTTCATACCACTTGTCCCAGGCAGGGTTTGTGGTATTTGCCTCAGGTACAAAAAGTTATCAACTTAGTACTTTGTTCTGTTAAATTCTTAGCTCTTTAGTCTTGTGGCCAGTGCCTTAAATGCTATATAAATGTGCAACAAATAAATTGTGGCACTTGTGACACTTCCAGTCATGCATATGAGTCCCACCTACATAGATAAGCCCTCCCAGCTTCTCTTTGGGTCTACGTGAACTCAAAAACTAGTTCATGAGTCCACATGGATAGCGTTGCTTTTGTTAGTAGGACACAGTACAGTACAAAGACAGTATAAAGGCATTTAATGAAATAGCATAGTGTAACTATGTAACAATATTGTGCTTTTTAATGAAAGAGCATAGTATCACTGTGAAATGGCTTGTATTTGATTCTAATGGCTAAAGGGAAGCCAAATCCTTCTCCAACCTTGCCTTTCTACTCCTTGGGAGGCATTTTAGGCTGTAATGATTTCTTTGGCCACCACTTTCTCCTCCCTACCACACTTCTCTCTGGAGACTTATCAGCCATACTCTGTTAGCTCGCTTTTTTAGCATACCAGCAATATCATGGGCTTCAGATCCATTGGGTTCCATCCTTCACTGTTTTATGGAATTTATATTAGACAAGATGTTAGGGGTATAATCACAATAGTTCAGAGGCCCCAATTAGACAAATTCCTAATATTCAGGAAAAAGTTATGCTCATTGTTCTAAGTTCTTGTTTTGTTTAACTCCAGCTAACCCCTGGCCTCTGAATTTGAGATAAGATCAGGATTCAGGAAATACGAAGGTTGAAAGAATGAGCAGACCATTTTACAGTATCTGTACCAGAAGTTGGGGAAAGAGCAGACCATTTTTAAAGCTAATTTTATGTAAGATGTCATTGCAACCAGTAACTATAGCCCATGTCCCCTGTTTAAAAATGTCTGCAGAGACCTAACGGCCCACCTCAGTGGTTCCCAACAATTTTTGTTCCACAGAACCCTTTCAACAAGAAGAAAAAAATGAGTTGTGAATTTCCAGGGTAATTTAATGTAGTATTCAGAGTATTTTAGATTTATTCAAGTGCTTATAATTACAATGATAACTTTTGCCCAAAAGAGCTCCAAATTAAAGTTTATGTTATGTAACTATAAACAAAATTAATTCTATATATAATTATGAAAATTATATATAAAATTATAAAAGTAAATAATTGTAAATATATAGGACATCCTGTAAAAATTGAGAAGTAATAGTAACAGCTAACATTAATATAATGCTTACTGTGTGCCGAGCACTTTACAATTATCTCATTTGATCCTCAACAATAATAACTCTTGAAGGTAGGTGCTGTTGTTATCCTGTTTTAACATGTAGGGAAATTGAGGCAAACAAAGGTTAATAGACTTGTCCAGGGTCACACAGCTAGTAAGTGGCTGAGTCTGAATTTGAACTCAAGTCTTCCTGACTTCAAGCTCAGTGTTTTATCCACTGTACCACCTAGCTGTCTTCAATCCAACAAGACCTCATATGTTCTCACCTGTGGCTCCAAGAAGCTGTGATAGAATAGAATGCTGTAAATAACAGTAGCCACACCTTGGTACTGTTGAAGGTAACCAACAAACCGCAAACCTGTTGGTAAGTTAGGGGAATGTCTACCTCAAGCGTGTGAAGACTTGCGCCTGGTGGAATGGGCTAATGAGAACAATTTGTTGCAGTGGCCCTGAAGGTAGCTCCAGCAGGCACTGTGGAGTGCTTAGAGCTTGTTCAGATGTTAAAAGTGCCAAGGTCATCCACTGCATCCTGGGCTATCACCAGTCGTCTTGACTTTTGTCTTGCCACTGGACTAAACTTGGAAGTGAGTGAAGCTGACAGCTTTGTACAACTGCCTCACCTACATCCAATTCACATGCAAGTTCAGACATCATCAGTCCTCTTCAAAAATGAACAGTGAACAACATTTACTATTGTCTGCAAGACTTTGTCTTGAATTTATTTTAATATGAAAACATTTTAACAAAATTAATTAATACTTGGAAGATATTTAACATAATATAATCATATATGAACTTAGTTTTGATGTTGGACTTTTTTATTTGATCAGGTGGTTAAACTATTTGCTTCAATACTGGACACTCTATTAAATCTGGTTCTGTATTACTAGATTACTGTGGTCATTTACTACCTAATGTCTTATATACCTGATCTATTCCACTGATCCACCAGTATTTCTTAGCCAATACCAGGTAGTATTGATGATTACTGCTTCATAATATGATTTGAGATCTGACATAACCAGACCACCTTCCTTTGCATTTTTTTCATTAATTCCTTGATATTCTTGACCTTTTGTTTTTCCAGATGAATTTTGTTGTTGTTTTTTCTAGCTCTATAAAATAATATTTTATCCGATTTCATCATAACTTTGTGATTATAACAATGATAGCAAAATTTATGTGGATTTTCACATGGCATTCTGTCCATCCTCAAGATCATATGTTGGGAGACTGTAGCACCAGGGAAATACAAGGTTTGGCCAGGTATATCAAGTACATCATTTTTTGGAAGCTATGAGAAAGGAA